AGAGTGTTTTAGGGTGAAGATTAAATAAAGTTTAATTTCAATGAAGGTTTGGGTCATTTAGTTGTGATGGTTAAGAGTTAGGGACAAAGCTATCTGTGAGAGACAGAGAGAGCTCTCTGCTGCTGTTGACTCCAGAGCGCCATCATGAGGTCAGTCTGTGTTTCTGTTTCTTTTGTTTTTAATTCAAAGAATCTCAACATCTACTGAACAACTGATATTTTTGCACATGAATTTAAATACTTCCATAGTGGAGTGTAACTAAGTACATTTACAAGTTCATACAAAGATGATCTAGTTAGTAATCCATTATTCTTCCTCTCTGTTGGTCTGTGGTCACTTTTCCATCAGGGAGGCGGAGACACACCATTTGTTTTTTCAAAACTGATTTCCCTAAATTAAAGAAGGTGGATAGTGCATCTACAGGTGCATCTCAGAAATTTGAATATCAGGAAAAAGTTATTTTATATTACATAATTTAAGTCAAATGAAACTTTCTAGCTTCATTCCACAAAGTGAAATATTTCAGGCCTTTTGTTTTTTAATCTTGATCATTATGGCTTACAGCTCATGGAAATTAAAAATCCCCTTCACTCTCAGACACCTTTATTGATTCAGCAGCACCTTCAGGACTCCTTCCATACAGCTGGTAAGTGGGGTTTTGCAGCGCTGTGCTTTTTGTTGGATGTATTTTACAAGAACGACGTGAAGAGAGCATGCACAGTTTGTTTATATGCTGTGTAGCCTGTAGAATAATCTTCTTACTTAAATTAAGTAAATTACTTCTGTCCACAGAAATATAAACATAGTGCTCTGTTCACTTCATTCTTACAGTTTGAGGTTTCACGGGCCTCAAGAGGTCTGCTCTTATTTTTTGTAATATGACTAAAAACTATTTAAAAACAAAGTTTAGGCCAGTTTGAAAGAGTCTGCTACTATTACTTTAAACTATCATTGTTACAGTATTAAAAAAACATAGTGTGCCTTTATAAAATCGTTAAAAAGGCTTGTACTGATACTTATTCCTTCGAATTATACTTATGAGCCCTTTTTGAATTTTGTCATTCAATTCAGAGCAGTTAAATTTAAATTATGTTTTAAAAATGATAAAAAGCACTTAATACAACAGTAACAGTTTACAACAGCAAAACAAAGGCTTTGCCATCGACGTCTCCAGGTCATTTTCCATACACTTTAATCAAAATATTATATCATTATTATGAAAACACATTCATAATAAATTATTTTAAATGCAAAACACATCCACCATCCTGATGAACAGCTGGAAAAAATACTGTAGGCTATGTCTGTAATTAGGAACACAAAAATTCAAAATATCCAACAAGATGAAAGAGCTCACTGTACAGGCAGCACATCCACCCGACATTCATCTGTGGAGACTCTTTTGGAGGTGGGCTCACTGGGCTTAGAAATTTAAGCAAAGCACCTTGAGAGGAAAGAAAAAGGGTTGTATGGTAACCTAGCTTTGCATATTGATTTATTTAGATGATTAGAGAGAACAAATTAACAAAGTTCACAACCACAAATGCTTTCATGAACAGCATTTACCTAAATGGCAACACCTAGTTTATATTTTCATTTGGTATCATTGCAAACATTTATCTTAAGTAACAATCTTCTCACCTAAAACTTCCTCTTCTTCTTCTTGTCACTTGGTGAAACACGTCATTGTCACAAATAGACCTGAATGAACAAAGTGTGAACTCTGATGGCTGCATCTCATGTTGCTGATCAAGAATTTGGGGTCTCTGTCAGTCACTGTGGATGAGAGAAAACTACATTTCTAAAATTAAAAACTGTCACAGAGTTTTTGGCTGTTTGGACATCGACAAGAAATTCAGAGAGACTGAAATCTAAAACAGACTAAAAGTCACTATGAGATGACATCATCCTAACCACAGGAAGTAGCTGCTGCGTCTCTCTACTAAAGCACTAGTTTAGAAACTCAGACAGTTCTGAGCACGAGAACAAGAGACAGAAGAAGGAGAGACTCAGAGAATCATGATGGTTGAGTTCAAATGGATTTCTTTATTTCTTCAGCGGTGCTTCAGTTTACAGGTAAGATACATATCACATATAAATGGAAGGCACATTGTAAAAAATAACTTGATCAATATTATTAAAGATTCTTTATTAGCTACATTTGATTTAACTAAGAAAACCAAATCTGTTGTTTCTAATGTGGTGAGTTTAGTGAACTCTTGGAAACTAAGGATAAAGAAATAATCGTCACTAACTATGAACATAACAGACATTTTCTCATTTCACTTTATTTTTCATCATTTTCTCAACAGCAGCAGCTGAAAAACTTCCCCCCTCCTTCACTGTCAGAGTTGGAGATGACGTCACTTTGCCTTGTGAAAATGTGATAGACGGTCAGCAAAAT